TTTATTAAATAACATTTCAAATATATCCTGAATTTTTTTCAAACAGAAATATTTGTTTGTTTCGGAGTTATATTAGTTCATCCAGGGTGTCTAAAAAAAAAAAATTGTTTGTGGCGAACATGATTCCAGTCTTAGTCATTTGAAATACTAAAATCAAAAAGATACTTAATCTGTATGAGTGTGGCTATCGTGTAAACTAGAAAAAAATTAAAAAATAAAAAATGGCAGCGTCTCAAAAAAAATTTCATTTTTCACCAAAAAATTGATTTTATTCAAATATCGATTTAATTCTAGTTTATACGATAACCACACTCATACAGATTTAGAATCTTTTTGGTTTTTTTTATTTCAGATGACTATAACAGCTAGAATCATGTTCGCCACGAACAACAATTTTTTTTTAAGACACCTTGGTTGGGCTACTATAACTCCGAAACAAACAAATATTTTTGTTTAAAAAGAATTCAGGATATACTTGAAATGTTATTTAATAAACATGCAAAGTTTAGAATTAATATGTTTTATACTTTTTCTTAAAAAAAATTCCCAAAAATCGCCTTAGTTTCCGAGTGTCAAACTAGGAAGACCCCTTAATAATATCAGATAAATGTGCGATATCATTAAATATTATGTAATATCAAAAAAGTATCTCTCGCGCAACAGAATATTAAAAGCTCGCGAAATTGAGCGAATTGTAAGTAAATAAAAAAAAAAGTGAAGACTCTCGAAAGAGAAGCTCGATAAAAGATGGAGGCAAATGAGACGAATAAATAACGCCGAAGTAACGGTAACAATTTAAATACAATTTGAATATTTAACGTGTTTGGGTTCTCTGTCACCGCCTCTCTTTTTCTTCATAGTACCGTGCGGCACTAAACTACCATAATTACCAAGAGTTCAACGGGAATTAAGGCCGCTTGATAGCGGCGGAGTAAACGTTAGAAGAGCGTTAGCGATGGTCGCCGAGTGCGTATATTTTATTAACGCTATATTTACCAGGCGACCAGCAACTTGTTTACTTTCTAAGACACACACAGCTCCACCGACGCGAGTCTCGCATCTGCTGCCCGTACGAATTACCCTCTCCCCGTAATGCTCCACGGTTTTCCATTAACGGTGTGTCATTTAAGTGAACCGACTCCCTCGAGACTACCTATCGCGAGGAGTTACAATTACACTTTATGAAACGGTATTTATTTCTATTCGAACGTATCATAGTTTCGATCTAGAGATCCAATAATTTGGCCCATTTTCGTGCTAATCTACTGCAAACTGATGCTCATTACTAGCTATCATCGTTAGACGGAAATTTCTAATAATTTAGTTCACTTTCTGCAATTAGCTGCAAATTAATATTAATAAGAGCACGAAATTTCTCGATAAACTTTCACTAATTTTGCGCACTTTCCTTAAAGGAAATTGAAGCAAAAAGTTATTCGTTACAAAAATTTTTCAATAAATAGAGATTTATCATAACTTGATCTACCTTCTAAAACTCGATGCAAAAAAGACTGTAAACGAGCGCAATAATTGCAAAATAATTTTCTTTTTAAAAAGGGTATTTATATATCGGATATATATACTTTTTACAACTAAAAATTTTATTTGAAAAAGTAATCTTTCCTGAAAATTTTAACTTTAAATCACTTATATATCGAGTTTTTAATTGCAAATTGATGTTCGTTATCAAACTTCAGTAGGTAATTGAGAGACAAAATAGCTTGAGAGAAACGTAATATCGCGGTTCGGTAGGAATTAATCAAATTGTTGTTAATGCATCTGGGACAAGTCAATCAAGATCTTATATTTCAAAGGCCCTTTCGGCGCTCTCCGTCTTACCATTCTGAACCGGCGGAACACTCGGTGTCATTAACCGTTGGGCGTGGAGTTTACAAGCAACTCGTCGAGTCTTTTTCTTTCGTCCGCCGATATTGCCGTGATCGAATTAACGATCGGCTTTGTGCACTCCGTTTGGTACCTGCCAAATGCTTTAATGCCATTATCTTCATTAGCGGCGGAACCGGCGCGGATTACAATACCTAATGAACCGCCTCGTGGCGCGGGCGAGTGTAACTTTTTCCAAGCTTCTCCATTCGTCTCCTCCCCGCCCTTAGATCGCTCCCTCCCGCTCACCCGTCTAGTCTATATATGAAATATATATAATTATATATAATTATACATGGGTCATTTTTTCCCTGGGTATACATTCGAATAAAATAATATCTTTAATATAAGAGTTTATTATAATTTTTTGTAATTGTTGCCTATATACAATTAAACAAATATGTATGCCTATATACTTTTACTTTCTGTAGATTTTAGCATTGGCTAAACCTGGACCGACACGATCGCCGAAAGCGATAAAAACCATAAGTTCGAATAGCATTCTTAATGCAATCAAGGATTTTCCATCATCTGAGTCATCTTCCGAGCCAATAATAATTGATTTATTGCCATCTTCGTCAACGCTGTCACCAGGCATTAGTAGTAGCGCATCAACTACAAAGAAATATCCCGAAGTGAGAACGACCGCGTTGGTACAATCTAGCACTGTGCCAATTACTAGGACTAAGGCACCAGTCGTTATTACTGCTAAATCTAAAACGACAATACAACCTAAGACTACTACTCAAGCACCCATAGGATTCGCAAGTTTATGGCGGGCGTTATTTGGCAGCAACCGTTTTGAAGCGTCCACAATAGCGAGTGCTAAGAAAAATCCGAAGTCCGTGACTCCAAGATCAGTTCAAGCCACTCAAAAATCCATTGAGATTACTCCGAAACCAGTACAGATTATAAAATCAACTACGCGTACAAGTCATATAATGTCCGCAATCAGATCGCATGCAACGCCGAGAAGCGTCGATATCTCAGACATCCAAGTGATTTCGACCAAATCGCATGCAGATAATATTGATTCCACCTCTTCTTCGACGCTAAGTCCGATTTCAACACAACGAACACTTTTAAATAATCCAAATCCTAGATTGAACGACGTCCCTACATCTACGTACTCATCCGAGGACGATTCGAAATTCCTGGTCGCGCTCTTACGAGCCATACAAACAGGTATAAAAATAGAAGTTTTTTTCCTTTTTATACACTACTAAAAAAAAATAGAGAACACTTTCCATACCCTAAAAAGTGGGCTATTTTCAAACCGCTGAAATTCGACGAAAAATCATCGTAAACAAAAAATTAAAAAAGCATTTTATAGCTTGAAGTTTCAACTGTAACATGATATCAATGTGATTTTTTTAAATTTGTGTATCTTCTTGGTTCTGTGCTTTAAAAAAGAACACATTGTTTTGTTCCTTAAAATTACGTATTTTTGACACTCTGCAGCTCGATAAAAAAATTTTTCTCGAAAAATTCAACTCAAATTTTTTTCACAAACTACAACATTTTGCCTACAAAATGCTTTTTTTTAAATCTTGCTACAATTTTTTTTGACCGAGTTACACGATTTTGAAACTAAACCTGTATTTTTTAGAAATGATGTCGATACTCGGCGAAAAATCATCGAAGACAAAAAATTAAAAAAGCATTTTAAAGCTTGGAGTTTCAACTGTAACATGATATCAATAGTTTCAAAAAATTTTTTTATTTTCTCATTTCTAGAAGGCAAAATGTTGTAGTTTGTGGAACTTAAGTTGAATTTTTTGAGATATTTTTTTATCGAGCTGCAGAGTGTCAAAAATACGTAATTCTAAGGAACAAAACAATGTGTTCTTTTTTAAAGCACCTAACCAGGAAGATACACAAATTTTAAAAAACCACCGATAGCGCGTTAAAGTTGAATCTTTAAGCTTGTCTACGATGATTTTTCATCGAGTTTCAGCGATTTGAAAATAGCCCACTTTTTAGGGTATGAAAAGTGTTCTCTATTTTTTTTTAAGTAGTGTATATATATATTTGATTTGATTTGGAACTGCAAAAACAAATTTAAAAATGATTAATAATTAAACTGCTTATATTGGTTCAAATAATGTTTCTTTATATTTTTTGAAATTAATGAATTTACTTGTAAAATTTTTATGATTTCTAAATTTAGGGCCATGCAGAGATTAACAGATATGCACCAATTTTCTTTAAAATACGAGACTAATTCTTATGTTTTCGAAGTTATCAGTTTTTTTTAACGTGATTTTTATTAATCCGTAATAAATTTTTAAATTAGAAACAAAAACGAGCACCTCTACAACGACACCTAAAATAATTGAGGATGAGGAAGCCTTCTTGAGAGCGATTTTAAATAATCAAGCTAGTATTTCTACTGCGATACCATCATCCACCGAATTAAATCCTGCTGCTTTGCTGGCATTACTTTTAAAGCAGCAGGGCATAGAACCGTCGACACCAGCAACAAAATTTAGGGAACAATTGCAATTAGCTGTAAGTAATGTTTTTTTTATATCTTCTTCAACATTTTCTGCTAGATATGTAATTTATTAAAAATGTTTCAACATCTATACAAAGAAATCTTGATGTACATAATAATATTAAAATATATAAAATACTCAATAAATAAATAATGTTTATTCGCATATTGCAATATATTTTTAATTATGAATAATTGAAAATTTAGAGTTATTATAAGCGACTATAAAAAAACTTATATATTAAAGCTTCAAAAATATATATTAATCACGAAATTTTTTATTTCGGCTAATTTCAAGTTAGGACTACTTTAATAAAAATTTGATTTAAAATATTTATTCTTAACAGGGGATAGAAGATTAAAAATTGTTTAATTTATGAATTTCTTTCGAAATATAACCGAAATTTAATTTAGGCTTACAGAATGGTAAATATGCCGATGAAGGGCGGCAGTCTCGATGATCTTGACCTTCACATATGATGTTGTCAAGATCATGACCCTGAACAACATTCAAAAGGTTTTAGCCGTCGCTCGTTTTTTATTAAAAAGTTATTCACAAAATAAGTTTAACGATTTGAACTGGCTCCAGTTCCGGAAGATATAACCTAACCCAAACCTATTTCTGATTTAAAACTGAAATTTGGTTTGGATTAGGTTATATCTTTCGGAAGTGGTGACCCCCGAAGGGGGGGGGGGGGGGGGGAAACCTACGTCCATGCATGTACTTTCCAAAACGAAACCAAAATCACTCTATATCTAACCTCAACCCTTCTAAAACGTACATGGTGTCGTAAAATTATGTTCTATTCATTAAAGTTTCTTCATTAATAACTTTTTAATAAACTACGAGCAACAGCTATCACCTTTTGAATGTTGTTCAGGGTCATGAGCTTGACAACATATGTCAAGGTCAAGGTCATCGACACTGCCTCCCTTCATCAGCATATTTACACAGAATATATATATATATATATGAAAAATTATAGTAATTTCGAAAAATCTTGTATTTATTAATGGCAAAGAGATCTAACAAGAAACAAGCACATGATAAATTATTTTATATAATTTCCCTACAAGACATATAATATATTTATTTCGGACCTTTTTTTAACTTAAAAAATGATATGTTTATCAGAGCCTGGACTTAACTACTACTCGATCAATGACAACGACCACAAATAGAGCGACTTTCAGTTCGAGCACTCAATCTGCAGTTAGCACGAGAAAAACAACGACTACACCAAGACGATCTTTGAGACCATCAGAACGGACTAGCGGTTATACGTGGTCTCCTAGTTCAACGTATCCACCTCCTCTCTTTGGAGAAAATTCGGGTAGTGGATTGATTACTGCTACTAGAGCCATCGGTCAATTTCTTGGCGCTGCCATTACGGTAAATATTTTCTCTTCTTGAGAAAAACTCTTTAATATTAAACAAAATAAACAATAATCTGGTCGAGTGGCAATTAAGAGTCAGCGCGGGAGATAGTGCGCGTACAATATTTGTGATTTATTACAATAAAACACTCATCGATTTACATAGACGTTTCGACCCTTTTTTGGGGTCTTCATATATAGTAATTAGTTTCCGATTAACATAACAATTGCGTTTTTCCAATGTTTCTTAGTTTCCATTGAGCTAAGTCTGCTTAATTGTGAATAATATGACATAGGTTTGATTTTTTTTTTTTAAATGTTATACTGATGACATCAGTATAACATTTAAAAAAAAAAAATCAAACCTATGTCATATTATTCACAATTAAGCAGACTTAGCTCAATGGAAACTAAGAAACATTGGAAAAACGCAATTGTTATGTTAATCGGAAACTAATTACTATATCCAAAGACCCCAAAAAAGGGTCGAAACGTCTATGTAAATCGATGAGTGTTTTATTGTAATAAATCACAAATATTGTACGCGCAGTATCTCCCGCGCTGACTCTTAATTGCCACTCGACCAAATTATTCCCAGACAGCACTATGACATCCTCGGGAAATCCGAAGGACATCCAGGACGGACATTACGGATATCCTGTGGATATCCAAATTTTATCCCGGGATATACTCAGGATGTCCTGAGGTTCAGGATATCCCATTTCAAAGTCCTACGGATGTCCATAAGATTTCCGTAAGACATCGTAATTTCTAAAACGTCCACAATGCATTCAAAATTAGTCCAGAATATGTTATCAAGGTACTTTATATGATATTTTAAAGATAACATATTGAATATAATTTATATAAGATATATTTATTTTATTTCCTATATTCTCGAATAAGATAATTATTAGATAATTAAAAGAATAAAGTAAGAAATTCTTTATTTTATATTCTATATACCACAAATATTAAAATAATTTTTTATAGATCATATTTTTATTAACATTTTTATTTCTGTTTTTGTTAGGGTGCAGCTCAACAATTACAATCTTTTCTAAGAAATGGCACTAGAAGCATAGCTGGGTAATATTAGAAAAAAAGGATAATACGAACAGAAATATCAAAATTGATATTATATCAGTTAATTAATTAGGATTGTGTTTGCCGTTGAAAAGACATATATAATAACAACATAAAAATCGACGCTAAGAAAGTTCAATCAAAACGACAGCACAAAGTAGCCCAGTAAACACCGTTAGATTAATGTTATGTATATAAGTACGACACAACTGAATATTACAGATAATATTGCATAAATATTACCGGCAAGCTACTTATTAATTGTAACTTTCCACTCATAAATGTAACATGTAATATAATACATGTTATATCGTTGTCACATCGTAATTATATTCTATATAAATATATTGATAGCACTAACGATTGATCAAATGTAATTAAATAAATAATAAAATACATAAATTATATTTAATTCATGATGAAATCTCAAGATTTAATTTGGATCTCTTATGTTATGTTGGTAGCCGTCCTTTGTATGCTTTATATATATGTTTATGACGGAAACTTGAACATGAGATAGTTTTCCCTGTTTGCCCCGTAACGGCGAGCAAAGAAACACGTATACAACAATATTATATTGCAATAATGTTTTAATAGAGTATTATTGTATAACGTTGCAAAATAATACATATGGAATATTGCAATTTTATACCATATATCATATAAGTAACTTACGTTATATTCAAACAAAAATTAGAAAGGACACAAAAAGCAATTAGCGGGTGTCTATGTAACATATAACTTTTTTACGTTATATTATTTGTTATCACCACATTATATTACTGCAACAAACAGTGTTTACTTGAAACACTGTTGAAAACTTTTTTAAATATTGTATTATTATAAATGAGTTATTAAAGAACGACATGAACAACGAATACGAATAAATAAAAAAAAATTATCTTTTTATCAAAAAGAGGCATTTTTCTTAGAATGAACAAATCACAGTATGTATATATTCAAACTTATATCAAATATTTAGAATTCCTAATACGGATTTTTTTTAATGATACTCGAGTAATTTTAAACCGAATGGTGTGTAATGGATACAGCTAAAATGTCGATATCTTGATCGAACATTTCTTACTAATACCAGATTTAAAATAATAAATTAATATTATATTAATTTATATATTAATATTATATAATAATTAATGTTATAATATTTATTAATCTTATAATATTTTATTTATCGTTGTTAATTATTACTCGACTTTGGCAAAATGGCATTCGAATTTAACATCGTTTCTATGAAATTTTGAGAAAATAATTAATTAAAAATTGGTTCAATGTCCCAACCTCAATCTCATTTTAAAAATTTTTGTGTAACTATATTTTGTATAAGAATTTTTATATAAGGACATTTACGCACAAAAATATTATAATATAACAAACAAAATTTCTTTTTATAATTCCACAGTTTAAATATTAAAAGAGTAGGCGTTGTGACGATTCAATTAAACGCCCGTCATGTCGTAACGAAGCGTCGTCGACCCATGGTTCCTATATTTAAAATGCTTGTATTGGTCCCTTCTTTCATCACACAAATTTATGGTACTTAATTTTTGATTACCCTGTAAAACCAATTTTTCATAAAATCTCGAACAATTTTACAAAAAATCATGACGAGAGTTTTACAGAAATGTTTTTTTTTTCAAATTTTTATTATTTGCAGTGATAATTTACAACGATGGTTTTGAATATATATTATTCTAAAACGCTTTGTAAACGTTTCCAGAGTAGATCTATCGATTTTTTTGGATATGTACTTATGGAGATGTTTATAACGGTCGTTAATATAATTAAAATAATATATCAGCGCAATGTTTTCCATATTGTTGATTCTACTATCGACACGTCTTATTTCTACATTTTTTCTTTATTTATATTCCTTTTTTGTAATAAAGTAAAATTGTATATGTGCTCTATGATTTTTTATTATTTGAATACTGCGTGCAAATGACTATCCAGAAAACACGGTTATGTAATATTGCTGTTATGATAGTAAATGTTATAAGTGTAGTCTTTTTCAGTGTTACTACGAATAAAAAGGAACGGACAATCTTTGTTTCTTTAATATAAAATTTATTCAGTAGTGTAACATAACTTTCTGTGACTTGTGTTCTGAACCAAAAACACAAAAAAAAATAATTACTATCGAAAACTGAACTTTTTAAAAACGAGTGCTTTTTGCTTTGTTAACCTCCATTTTTTAAGCGCCTCGTATAGCTGTAAGGAGAATCTATACTTGCTATCGAAGTCATAATTATCGACACTATTGATTATCGACTGTAGGAATTATCCCTAACACCCTCCCCACACGGAACAAAAACCTCTAATGAATATCCAGTAGACGTCCATCATGGAGATTCGAAACCTCTATTAGATGTCCATATAATCTCTACTAATAATAGACATTTACTAGATATCCACAGTTCCACATTTATTACTTCCATTCGACATCCATTAGACGTATTCATAGATGTCACATGGACGTCATATGGTGTAATCATAGATATTTCATGGAGCTTTGATGGAAAATAATACCCCTCACAGCACATCAACATCCCAATAAAGTTACACCTTAAATTGTAAGATGTTATTCCATGAAGATTAATAAACCTGCCATTAACCTCCCAGCGACATGAAAATGTTCGTCCAAACTCATTCCATTAACATTCCAGAGATCTTGCGCGTAACCTTGTATTAATAATCATATAACATGTCAGAAACCTCTTAATATTATTTTTAATAAGGATCCTATTTAATAAGGATATCCTTGAAAAAAAATATTATATTGGCAAAAATCGATTAAATACTATTGGTTTTCAATAACGTTCAATCGTTTTTTTACCAATAATTGAATAGTTTAAACTCTTTTTTCTTTAATATAGAATCTCGCAAAAAATCCATAAAATTAAATAAAACGAGTTCTTTATTAGTGTGTTTTTGGAAATATAAGATATGTACATATACAGGATGGGCCAAAAGTCTGGATAGAGTTGAATATCTCGTAAACAATGCAATTTTGAAAAGAAGGTTTTAAACAAAAGTTGCATGGTTTCGAGGGGGCCACATGATAAAAATGTAAAAAATGTTAAGCATGTTTCCGCGGACAACTATCTACAGTTAAAGTCTTTTAAATATAAGTAATGGATTATTAATAGCAAACCGCTATTAAACTACTATCGAACCACTATCGAACCACTTTGAACTACTATCGAACAGCTTTTGAATCACTATCGAACAGATATCGAACAGTTTGAACCACTATCGAACAGCTTTTGAACCACTCTGAACAGCTATCGAGCAGCTATTGAACCATTATTGAAAGACAAATTACTTAACTAACCAATCGACCATCAAATAAATATTTTAAGTATTTTATGTCTATAGAGATGTACTGAAATGTAACATCTATATTTTAAATAAATAGTTGACGCTGCTATCTAACGTCATGTAACTGAAATTTAATACTCGCTACGCTCGCATGATAAGAAAGAGGAAAAGGGAAGAATAAAAGAGAATAAAAATATATTTTAACAATAGTTTATTCTAAATAATGTTTGGCTGAATCTTTATGATGATTCAACCACCAATTAAATATTTTAAATACATTTTGTAAAACGCAATTTTTTAAATGCTTTTCACAACGCATAGTATTAGTAACATCTAGCTTGTTTAACGAAGCAATATCTTCATAGTCCGCATCCAAAGTCTTAATAATAACGTCGTTTCTTGCATCATTGTCAAGTATATCGGCCAGCCATTCTCATGTTTCGCGTCCTTTAACGTACACGATAGGAGATGCTCCATCTTCCTCTTCTGTCGCACCCATCACAGCCCTCATAATCAAACGCCTAGCCATGCTGTATGGAACGTTTCCATCCTCCCATTGAAGTCCATGGTGATGTCCAATTAGCCATGAAGCTTGGCATCTCTCAGATTTTGAAAGCACACGCCATGGTACGGGACTTGCGAAAATGTAGTGGGAGAGAACAAATCCATTTCTCAGTATCGCTACTTCCTTCACGATAAAGTTTCTCCCGATAATGAATCCTTGCAGATCCACAAACGCAATCATGCTGATAATATTACTGTACGATTGCAAGAATGATGTACGATTGCTGTCGATCGTCAAAATCTCAATCCTTATATATTTTTGATATTGGAGGGGATATTTGCTGATCTACGTAATTTTACGAACTATGTTGGTCAATATTCAACAACGCGTGCAACGATCGTGCAAGATGAGACAATAGGCGGTAGTATTTGCCGGTATATCTTCATTGCACTCAAACTCTAATCTCACGTTCACGGTGGAATTTTTGACAGATTCGTTTTGTCGCGAGCAATCAATAACTGCGAAAGGACCGCAATATAGAAATTTTGTGGTGGTTAATAGCACATCATCAATATCGCACCCATAATAAGAGTTGCGAAAACGAGAGTACATATCGAACAAGAGGGTGGATCTATTTTTATAACCCAAATTCAAATCATCGTAGAGATAAAATTTCGAGTTTAGAGAGTTTAACGTTGGTCAATTTGCAGTCGTCGAATGTAGTAATACCATTGACACAGCATTTTTTCTGCCAGTCTGCAGCGCAAAGATCGCGGCTTCTCCAACTGGGAGACGGCTTTCACGGTCCACGAATGCTTGGTCGTATTATGTAACAGAGGAAATTCGAATAGATCCCAAGAGCGAAAACTCATCTTCAAGTGTCGCCCACTTTCCAACACGCGTAGCAAGGACAGTGTATTGACCTTGCTCAATATTACATGGGGCATACGCCATTGTATTTTGAATAATTCGATCTCAGCTTTCATCGAAGCATGTCCAAATATGCAATTGTTGTCGTTGCGCGAACGTATCAGAATTAATTCGTGACGAGCGTTGATCACAACTCGCTTATAATCTTCGCAAAAACCCAATAGTATGTTTAGCGGCACGCAAAAATTGAAGTAAGCTTCAGCAGCATTATGCGACATATTCCACGAAGCATTCTCCAAGATTTGACCTCTCTC